TAAAACAGTTCAATATTGACACTGCTTTTATAGTCTGTCTGCATTGTTGTTGGTTGTTTGCTTAGATTTTAACACAATTAGTAGCAATTTTTACTTTGTTTTTTTTTTACTGATTGTCAGCTTGAGTGTGAACAGAAGCACATGCTGTTATTGTGAAGGAGCTCTTGTGCTCAGATATAACGAATTAAAACAACAAGTTAATGTCAAAGATCAAAGCAGTTTGCGTTCTTAGCCGAAAGAAGTCTGCACTCAACTTTAAATCACATTTATTCTGCAAGGTTCTTCAAGCAGAGTTAAATGGAGAATGATCCGTTTTTTTCAGCAAATAAAATGTCCAGGATTTATTGCAGACTACTAATGCTGACTTTTATAAGAGTGGCTGGAATCTTCAGCTTGTGTGTGGTGGCAAAATAAGATCAGTGACAGATTCCAGTTTTCTTAAAGGAATAGTTTTTTGTTTTTACATTGTCTGATTATTATTTCATTTATTGATTTTTAAATTAAATTATACAGTGGTTTACAATTTTATGAAATTTCCATTTTCTTGTACAGTTTTTAATTCATTGTGCCTGCCATATCAAACTAGTGTAACAGAAAATTCTGTAGAACTGGCAGAACGTGCAGATTATGATTGCCTTATCTTATCAACTTTTTGAATATGCCACAAATAGAATTACTATCATTTTAAATATAAAGGAACAAATAGTTAAAAACAATGAAATGCCCATTTTATTGTGGGATTCCAGATGTTTGCTGATCAGTTGTCATATGTGATTACTATAGTAGTTAATCATGTGTCACATCTTGGAAGAAACTGTACCAGAAGAAGAAATTCTGAGAAGGTATCAACCCTAAACACTTCCAACCAGCATATACATCTAATAATTTTGCACATTGCCATACAGTGTGTGTTAGGTTTGGTTCTTTCTTCAGTCTGGTCATTTTTCATTTTTGAAGCCTCTTATCCCTGTACTTTTTACAGGAGGTACGAGGACTCAGAGAAGAAAATGCTCAAGAGGAAAGCAGATACCACTACATCAACTGCATGAGAGAGGTAGGATAGTAGGGAGAGACAGTGCTGAACTCTTTTAGACACCTGTGATCTGAATAGTATCCATATTCAGTTTTTTACCTCTCTTTCCTTTTGAAGGTCATTGAAATGCAAATGCAGAGAGCAGCAGACGAGATGAAGGCATATGTTTCTCCTGATCCCCAGGAAAGAAGAAAGGCTGTGAGGTATGGTTCACATGAGCCAGCTGTTCACAAGACATTTACCTTTTAACCTCGAAATGGCTGGGTAGTAGCAGTGGAAAAAGAACCAGCTAGTTTAATAAGCTGCCCTCTTGACAAGATAATTTTCCGGGACAATTTTTAAGTCATTTAAATTTTTTTATCTAAACAGTTTTTTCACATGGCTACATTCCCTGACTTTTATTGTTTATAACAGAATAAGGGCTCTTAACTATGATGGTAATAATATTTCTAATTCATCAGCTGGCAGTGCTGGACATTTGTGTACAATATGTGTTATATACTGCATACATGCAATTGCAAAAAAAACCAAACCTCCACAACACATAATCATTCATTTTATATAAACATTTTATTTGAAGGGCCATTTATATTTAGCAGTCTATCTAATAAGATGAAAGCCTTTAGTTTATTTTCCAGAAAGATCAAAAGAGTGGAAAAACTCACAAATGCATAAAATGAAACATGTATTCTAAAATATATTATAAAAAATGTGACTTATGTTTCCCTAATAGTCGAATTTGTCAATTGTAATGAAAAACATGAATCGCAAAAACATTCAAATCACAAATCAGAATTAATTCATTAATTGCTTACACTTATATAGTGTTTTTCTGGACACTCCACTCAGTGCGCTTTACAGATAATGGGGATCCCCTCCACCACCACCAATGTGCAGCCCCACCTGGATGATGTGATGGTAGCCATAGTGCGCCAGAACGCTCACCACACATCAGCT